GTCGTTTGAATGACGCAGACGCATTGCTGCCAGTTTATAAGGGGCAGGAGTTGAAGAACCAAGGGGCGAATCAGGACACGGTGCGGGGAACAGAGACAGTGGGCGGACGTGAAAACAGGCATTTTGTGCCGGAAGGGGAGAGTTATGAAGTGTCAGCAGCCAGAGGTATGCAAATGACCCGCAGAATGCGTCGGTCGGGCAAAGGGCTTCTTCAGGTGGTCCTCACCGCAGTCACTTCTATATCACCATGCGAAGAGACAACTAGGTTCAGGATAGGCCGGCCCGACGGCTGTTGTGTCTCGACTACTTTCCTGTAGAAGACCGAGAGAGCCGAACGGGGGGTAGGGACAGTATTCAAGTAAGCACTTAAGTGGTGCTTGGCCGGGGGACTAGATGAAACGCCAGTGGGCAGTCGACTGGAACAAAGGGGTCAACAGTGCTATGATTCTTGGCGGAAGGGGACTCGGGCACGCACTTCAGAGCAAATTAAATCCGACGATGACATTAACGTGGTAAATGTCAAAACCTCTTGTAACTGAAGAGGAGATGGGATTTCCTTTTATGCTCAATGCGATAAATGGGGATGTAGCTATAACGATCGCTTTTACTCTAAAATTGCCAAGTTCAGGCTGTCATTCTACAACTTTTAGAAGTTGGCAGACCCTTATTTGCAACAAGTGATGTCTAGACAGGTGTGATTGAACTGTCGAACTCTAATTACGCGGTCTTGGTTAAATACTAGATATCTTCAATAAGCCCATCTTCCACACGAGTGCGAAACTGTATGTATTTCGTGCAAAATCTTTCGACTTCACTTGCCATAGGAGGTACAGCATATTTAGGTTTCGGTGTAGAACAACAAACACCCATATTTAATCGGTCTACGTGCTGCAGGAATTTGCCGGCCTGCTTTTGAGTGCACACGTAATCTTACATTAGACCAAAAGGCTTGTTTCACTCCAGTTTAATAGACCAGTCATTCATCCGCACTCTGCATTATTTTTAGCGCCTTTCACCAGTTTTGCTATCCAGTGAGTCTGGACCTACATTTCCTTCTCCCACTTCCGCCGACCCGCATAAGACGCATCTTCTAGGAGATTGCCGTTTGTCTTACTGTTGGTCTATCACGGCTCTCGATCGCCCAAATTTTTTACAGTGTGGACGTTTGAGTTAGAAGGGTCGATAACTACGCTTGCATGGTTGTTTTCTCATAAAAGCAAGAAAAGCGTGAGGAGGTAAGCTGCAAAGACGCGACCTTGTATGACCAGACTTTTCTGTATAGTTACTTGTCTGTTCATGAAAGCCACTCACTGCGCTCCCGCTGGAGAACATGAGCAGTGGCTATGTAGTTACCGCCCTTTCAGGGGGATTTCACGGTGAATTTTCTACCTGTCGCTTTTACGATTTTTATACGATTGGAGGAAGTTGATTAGCGTTGTCCCGCGAAGAAGCGACTTTTAATCTAAGCCCAGGCAATAAATAGATGCACCCAGAAAATTTTACTCCAAAAGTGCTTATTCACTCTGCACCCCATGGACTTCCAACTTCTGAGATTACGATGCAAAATCCCCGAGTGCTGTCAACACAGGTTTGCCAGCCGTTGTCTGCGACAGCTTTTTTTGCACAAAACACAACCTGCCATCACGCTCATATGCCGGGACGAGTTGTCTGTTCAGTGTATGCAACTCCCGATCGAGTAATCGATAGCTCAGTCGGTGGTTGGTAGCAAATAATGATGGTCGAGTCAGTTTAAAGGCTGCCGGCGACTATCACGGCGGCAAACAAGTTTAATGCAGTAATCGAGGCATGTAACTCTGGGCGACTGAACAACTTTCGTAAATGCAACAGTCCGATCGTTTGTAGCCAATTCCTGGAGTTCTGTTGGGGGGAGGGCTTTTACAAACTAACCAAAGAACTAAAATAAAGCCCAATACGCCACAGAAGCAGTTGAATGACTATTATCTGTGCTTTGCTGGATGAAAACAGGGTGTTCGAAGAGTCCTTATGCAGTTCAAAGTCTAGTCGCTTGGAACATATCTCATAAGAAAGCACTGCAAACGGTATGTTCAACCTAAGCGTGGTGCATTTCGCGTACTTGCATTTCGAATGGACGGTCGTCGTCGGCGATGTATAGTTCGATGCTACTTTTGGTTTACTGATAGACGATTTCACAAACGCATTTGCTATGCTGACGCTGGCCTCAACAAGCAGACCATTGCTTTATCATAATGCTACATGAAGTAAGCCAGTGGTGACGGGTCACGCGTTTAAATTATTAGCCCACATCTAGTCGACGCCTCGTCTAGTAAAAAGTTGTTAAACAAACGTTCCTACACGAAGCATGGCAGCCGGGAATGCGCTAGTGTCGAAAAATACTATCCACTGATTTTTCCAGTGCAGTTTAGATAGTAATCATCTTTCCGTCCAACAAGTCAAAGTTCACCAAGAACTACGCAATCAAATAGGGGAGGGTCCCATATCGAACGATTTCGAGGAAGCGAACCAGGCACCGATTTTGGAAGATTTTCTTTCATCCTAGGGGAAACGGGTTTCTTTTTAGACAGATATTATTGCCGGCAAAGACAAGGGATACTGGAATGTCAATTTCTGGCTTATTAGTGGTGCATCACCCGAGCCTCGAACTCGCGACATTTTGATAAGAATCTAACGCCCAAATGAGTTCCATTAGCGGTCGGTGGACGTTCGTCAACGAGTGTAAATATATCCCGACCTAAACCAGCAGGATAACGAGCTCGTGACTCAGTGTTTAGGGTGTCAAACTCTGATAAAATGATCGCAAGTTCGAGGCTCGGGTGGTCCAACCCTCGAGTCTGGGTATGACTGGTTGACGACGGTTAATAAGTCAGAAGTGGGCGTTCCTGTCTCCCTTGTTTTTGCCGGCAATACTGTTTGCTTATAAGATGCGCTGCTGTCAGGGCCCGAGAAAAGCGGGACAAGTGAGTTCCGTTAGCGGTCAGTGAATGTTCGCCAACGAATGTAGGGTCCCTTTTCCGAATGAAGCTGTTGACAGAGAGTGTAATATGAAATAATGCATCAAAAAATTTAGCCTGGCCAATAAACCTCAGAAAGACGCATCATGACCGCGGCTACATCGATGATTGCAAGCCGATTTATCGGATATCTAAAGTTAAATCGCAAACTGGGCTGTGGGATTTATTCACAGTTTATGTTGATGTTACTGTTGACAGCCATTGCGTGGCTGATATTTTTGCCCCTAGTACCACCTCCAATCTGAGAGAAAAGTCTTTACATATCGTTTATAAGTTTAAGGACATTAAAATTTCACTAATCCATGAATCACCAACGTTAAGATGCCCCAGCTGCAAAGGGACGCTCTCATAGAAAGACACTTTTGGCAGTTGTGTGCGGGACGCTTGCCGAACTGAGGCTGCTGAAACTTCTCTAGCCGCGAATTACCAATAACCGTGGCAGTCCGTGTTCCGTGACGTACTGTGCACAGGTGAGGCAAACCTGGGTTTGGCTAAGACTGGCCGACGGTGGCTAATAAGCTAGAAAGGGCGGTCCTAATTTCGAGAAGGCCTCAAGGCACGTCAGAGTATCAGAAAGAATGCGTTATTCAATGCAAAAAAGGTGTCTGGAAAAGATAACATCAGAAAGCTGGCAGTATATTTGACCAAGTTTATACAGGGAACGGGGAGCCGGTGCAAAGCTGTCACAGTGCCTTCACCATGTAGGGTCCTTCAAGTTCGTAGCCCAATTTTCGGTAGTAATCTCGGGTACCAACACCTGAAATGACTGCTAGTTTCAGGGAACCATGTTCTTCTCGGGCGATCCGTTCGGCCTCTTCCATAAGCAGTGTTCCGAAACCCTTTAAAGTAAATAAAAACAACCCTGTTACAGGCCTACAAATCGCGTCAAGCTGAAGATCTTATTACGTGTTTACAAGTCTATATCCTGGGGGTCAATATGAAATCATTTTTCTGCAGCTTGGCCAGGAAAACGCTAAGCTACTTTGTCAGATATAGTGTACCT